AAGACTGGGCAACGTGTGTGGCTTGGCATTTATCCAGATATCTCTGTGGGTCTGTGAGCTGCCTGGTTTCTGCCTGGGGAGCTGGGGTGGTGAGTGGATGCACTGCTGGTCCTCTGCCTTTCAGATCAGTGAGTCTTTCCTCATTGCCCCCATTGCCTTTGGTCCTTTCCTGGCTGCCCAGGCCTGCTCGAAGCCGTTGATCTCAATCACTGAAACCAATCTCAACCACTGTCCGAGACAGATAAACAAGGCCTTGTGTTGCACAGGGCAGTAGTTGTTTTTATTGAAATCTAAGTGGGGCAGTTGAGCATGAGAGCGCAGCACCATCCCACCACAGCCAGCATTGACATGCTTGGGTCCCTGGGAATGGGTGTGTGTGTTTGTGATGGGAGATGGTCTCATGCCATGCTGTTGAGCCAAGAGCCTTTGCTGGTGCTTTTCAGCTGCCCCTGGGCTCCTGTGGTGTGAGATTCCCCCGCTGCCTGCTGTGGAAACAAAATGGGCTGAAAGTTTCCTTGTGAGACAGGGAGCAATGCTGCAAGCAGTGGGCAGCATGGTGGGGCAAGCAGGCAGCAGCCTGGCAGGGAGCTGGGCCTTGGGGCAGCCTTACTGGGGAGCCCTCTCCTCTGCACAAATGCAAGTTAATTAATTAAGGGCTCTTGGCTCTTATTGCCTCCTGCTGCTAAGCTCTTCTGGATTTCAAGGGCTGTTCTGAAATGTTGCCTGTTGCTGAATGTGGAGCATCCTCTCCTTTCCTCCGCAGGGGATGCGTGGCCAGGCTGTTAGCACAAGGAGGTAAGTGCGTGTATCATTTCTTCCTCTGCATGGTGGTGGGTGACTCAGGTGCTGAGCCAGCTCCAAAGGAGCTGACCTGGGGGACCTGTAAGTCCTTAGACCTACATCATTTTCCACTGGGCTTAGGGTGCAGGGCTGGCAACGAGTGAAAAGGGTTGTAGCTATGTGTGCTCATTACTGCCTTTGGGACTTGGGAAACAAGCATGTGTTTCACAGCTTTTCTTTAACTCTGGTGCATTGGAGATGTGGGGCAGAGCCTGCAGTGGGTTTTCCCTGCACTGTGCCGGTTCCAGAGGGATTAAGGGCTTTTTTCCTGTCGGGAAACTGAGGCACCAGAAAAGGACTGGGGGCAGCCAGCGGCAAGGCAGTGAGCCGAGTGCAGTCCTTCCGATACAAATGTTCTGTCCATCAGGCCATCCACAAGGATAGCAGAGGCCAGGGAGGTTTTTCCTTTTAAATACAATTCTTTTGCAGGGAGTACCGAACATCTTGTACATCATAATTTCTTCTGCGGCAGCACTGCCCAACCTGGCGTGTCAGCCCCTTTGCTGGCGGGGAGGTGTGGGCGAGACCTGTAACACCACTTTCATCTTGGCCTCTCGCCCGGCGGCCGTAAATCCCAGGCTTAGGAGCTGTTGACGCAGCCCGGCTGCGCACGGGATCGTATGAAACACTTGTCAGTGGCTGGGGCAGGTGGTGAGCGGTGCTGGATGTTTGGAAAGGCTCGGCACGTGCCAGCCCCCCCCGGCTGGGCTGCCCATAGTGTCGAGGGGCTGCAGGATGGGGCCACTGGCTCTGTGGGTCTGGGACCTCGCTGGCTGGGCTGGAGGTTGCAAGGACCACCCTTTGCCTGGAGGTTTGGGTGCTGGTCAAGGCAAGGCAGGGGCAGCAGCCCTCTTCCTAGGGGGATTTGGGAGGTGCTAATGGCTGCAGAGATGGGAGCAGGGCTCTGGGGCTCGCCCAGAGTGGCAGGAGGGAGGTGTGATGGCTTCCCTGCTTCTCTCCTCTGCTGGAGATGGGTGCAGGGCCAGGCAGTGACCGGGGAGGACAGCAGTGTCCCCCAGCCCAGAACCAGACCAGGGAGTCCGCCAAGTCTTATGAGGAGCAGCTGAGGGAATGGGGGTTGTTCAGTCTGGAGAAGAGGAGGCTGAGGGGAGACCTTATCGCTCTCTACAACTACCTGAAAGGGGCTTGTGGTGAGGTGGGTGTTGGTCTCTTCTCCCAAGTAACAAGTGATAGGATGAGAGGAAATGGCCTCAAGTTGCGCCAGGAGAGGTTTAGGCTGGATATTAGGAGAAATTTCTTTACCGAGAGGGTGGTCAAGCATTGGAACAGGCTGCCCAGGGAGGTGGGGGAGTCACCATCACTGGAAGTGTTCAAAAAACGTGTAGACGTGGCACTTCAGGACATGGTTTAGTGGGCATGGTGGTGTTGGGTTGATGGTTGGACTTGATGATCTTAAAGGTCCTTTCCAACCTTAATGATTCTGTGATCTGTATGCCAGTCTAGTGGGTGAAATAGCAGAAACGCAGAGCACGGCCCAAGGAGAGCTGTAATAGCTGACCAGAAACATTTGCCCTCAGGTTTCAAGGCTGAGCTCTGCACATGGTCCAGCCACCTGGTCACTGCCGGGCGCCATGGTGCCATTGGCCCATGGGGCTGCATCTGGAACTGGGGAGCTGAGAGCCTCCCAGCTGGGGCTTGCTGCTGCCATGTCCCGCAGGCAGACCCTTGCTGTGGGGTGGTGGGCGCAGTGCCTCACGTGGTTCCCCACAGCACGTCCCAGGGCAGGAGGCACCAGCCGTGGGTGCAAAGCAAGGGAACCATCGACGCTTGCTCCCTTGAAGGCAGCTTTCTGCCCTGTGCAGCTGTGCTGAGGGGGAACATCTTCCTCGTGCCATGTGCAGGGTTGTGGGGCCAGGACAGCAAGGCTAGGCAGCTCCGCAGGGCCCCCCAAAACACCCTGCAACCCTGCCCTGAGAGACAGCCCTTGCCGGGCTCCCAGGGCCCGGCCCCCTCTGAGCTATTAACCTGCCTGGAGCCCAGGCAGATAAATGCCAATAAAGCTGTATACCGGTTTCTGAACAAGCCTTAGCGTTATCCAGCACCCCAGAGCCTCTTGTGATGGCACCAGCTGTGTGCGGGGAGGACCGTGTTGCTCCCCAGGTACAGCTGCGATTAACACCGACAAGGTCAGATTCACCATTACTGCTTCTCTTTGTGTTTACAAACTGTGTGATTTTTATGGTTTTTTGGTTTGTTTTTTCTACAGGTTATGAGGAACAAGGCAGCATTGCTACACACAGAGCTATTCTGACATGGTTCTTGCAAAGGTGCTTGGAAACTGGACTAGACTAAGCCATGAAACACACTAAGGTAAGCCTGGCCATGTGTGGCATTATTTTTGGAAAATCCTCTCCTCCATTCTTATTTCACACTCTGCTTTGCTTTGTAATACTTCTGCATCTGGACAAGTTCTTATGTACAACAGAATGCTCAGTTAAACAAACAAATCTACCACCTACCTATATTTATGGATTTATAAAAAGTAATGCTGACTTTTACATTCACACAAAATCTGACTTTTATTTGGTCTGAACACTGCTGCAGATTACCCAGTTGCTACCAGGGTGTGGGAAACTCTGCAGAATGGCTAGTTTTATCTATTATAATAGGACATTTAATCAAGCATTTGAACTAGGTGCCCCGGCTTCCAGTTCCTAGTCAGCTAACATCTTGTAATTCATTTAGATCTAGAAATGAAAAACCCAACTTGATTTAAATTGTTGTGAATGAGATCTAGCTAGGGTAAGAAATACATACTTAATAATGTATTGGATCAGATTCTCTGTGTTGGACTTGTTTCAGCCATTGACTGTGTAACTAGAGTGTATTAAAAGTATCTCTGGGGACTGCTAGCGCGACAAACTACATACTCCCCTTTCTGACTGGGTCTGTGAGCGAGTCCAGAGCTGAACTAGGCAGATCTCTAATGGCAAGAATGAAAAACACCGACTGAACATGGGCTGGTCTTCTAAAAGCCAGAAAGGGGTGCTTGTGCTAGGGACACTGCCTCAGTGCTCGAGGTGCTCAGCTGAGGCAGTTGATGGTTGTTGGTAACTGATCCTTTGGACAACTTCTGCCAAGTTCTGCACTCAAGCAAATGTTCTTTGTGCCTCACCAAACTGCAAAGAAAGATGGTCCTAGCCCCACCTGGTAGCCCCTTCACAGCCCCACGTCAGCTGAAGCCCTGTGTTTTGTCACTCCCAACCCAAACCCTAACTGTAAATCACACTGTCCCCAAGTCAGCTTTTGTGCTGGGTGTCACGTGAAGCAGTACCTTATTTCATTCTTTATGACAACTGGACACTAAAAAGTCTGCATCCCATCAGACCTCACCTATTTTCAAATTTCAAAGTCTTTGAGTCCTGCTTGGAAAAAAATTTTTCTAATTTTTATAGAGACCAATGTGCGGTTATTGGGGTCTTGGGTCGCTCCTAGAGGAACCCTTGAGGCCCTTGCCTGGCTGGACTGTGCTACCACACTTAGAAAAGGGGTTTCTGTAACGGAGTTGTACCCACTCATTCCTCCTGCCCTTCACAAGTATTACACACCACCTTACAATTGCCTCTGGACATAAACGTCTGGAAATTGGCTTCAGATTAGCAGTGACCAGCAGTGAACAAGATCAGCACTGCTCGAGTTAACCTGAACACATGCTTACCCAGCCTGGGATTAAACTGTCACACGACTGATGAACACATCCCAGTCTGCCAGCTCGGGGGCAGACTTCACCCCTTCCCTTACACTTACTTTCCCAAAGAAAGGGACGGATACATCCTTAGGTGAAGCACCTGAGTTTTCCCAGTCAGGGTTACATAGCCAGATGGAAAATTTGTAATCTTTATTTTACGATAAAGATAAAATCTTTAAAGATTAAAGATAAAGATGAAATCTCTTTATCTTCCTATAATCTTTATTGATTATAGGAAGTCTTCCATAATTTTCAGAGCTGAAGCATCTTGTTCGTTCATTGCTCACGTTATTTTGCAATACTTGGCACAGTAAGAACACCCTAGGAAAAATATTTTCGTTCAAACCTGTAACATCGTATTTAATCTCAAGTAGAGCAACAAAGACATGGGCTATAGAGCAATTGCAGGAGACAAAAAATATCATTTCCTGAAGAAGGTACTTTAAACACATCAATTCTTAATGTTGTCTTTATCCAAGTCCTTAGTGGTCAGTGCATTCAAAACAATTTTTCCTTCTCCTTCACATTTTACAACTCCAAATACTGATACTGTTTAGCATAACGGGCTAGTTCAGATGTGCAGTTGCATTCTACTTTAAATGATCACCAATCGTATCGGTAGCTTCCAACTACATCTTTGTACTCATTAGTGGTATAATATGCAGACAGTTTATTTTCAGTAGTTTAAAACAGGGCTGGATTTTGTGTTCTTGAGTTGGGCAGTATCTGCTGGGATGGTGTAGTTCTGTACAACTGCGGCTTTTCAATGTTCAACAGGAGCTGAGACTCAGACCTGCAGCCAAGCCTGTGCCAGCTACCTTTGGCAGCCTGTCTGCTGGTCAGGCTGAGCAGCAGCATGATCCCCAAGCCTTGCATCAGAGTCCTTCCAGACTGTGTTGGAATGGCATGGGTCTCAGGCTCCTATATGCTTTGGACACATTTAAAATAACAAAATGAACAACAGGCACAAAGCTTACTTTTGTAACAGTTTTTTTGTTGTGCAGTTAACCTATTGTTCTAATACATTTATGGAAATCTTACACATTTGACAACTAACAAAATAAAAAGACAAGTATCTAAAGGTGCACTGAACTCAGGAAGGCACCCAGGCAGGATTTTCCCAAAAGTAAATATTCTGTCTGGAACAGCTTGCTCATTAACACTGGGTCTGTAGAGCACTGCAGTTTCAGCGAAGTTTCCAGTGCCACTGGAGTTATTAAAATTGGTACCAGAATATCACTTATGACAGAGAGGTACTCATCCTCCAAGCTGGTTGCAGCACATTGCCCTTGAGCATTGTCTGTTACTTCTGCTTTGCTGACAGATCTGCAATAGCTCCTGGTAGCTTTCTCCTGTCTCCAAATACCCAGCAGATGTGCAGTGTTTCATTTGAACTGGTTATCAATCAGGGTTCCTTTCATCTTGGCTTTCTTGGCTTCCAACTCAGCCTGATTAAGAAAATTAAGACATAGTGAAATGATGTCTGGATACATTTCCTTTCAGTGTTCCAATGAGGTTTGGTCATCTTGTCTGACCACTGCAAGCTTTTCACACCAGGAGCAGGAGTAGCTCAAGTTCTTTGCTGACTCCCTGCTCCCCCAAGGTACAAAACAAGGACCACCTTTAAAATCATTAAAAGTCCAAGACTAACTGCACAGGAGACAATTTCATACTTTCTGTCTTCAGGTGGAAGCTGCACATTTTCCCCTTGTCCCATCTACTACTCTCCTGTCACAGCAGGTAGGATCAGCTGTGATGTTCTTGCTATTAATTCTTCAAGTGACCCTTCTGGTAGTAGCTGCGCTGGCAGGTCCTCCACAAGGGCCTTAGCTTGCCATGAGGCATCACGGCAAAGACCTGCTCTGCCAAGCAGGCTTGAGAGCACAGCATTAGGGATCCTCTGGTTGGCAGAGCCATGGCCTGCTTTCCCCTTCCTATGTTCCTTGCCCCACAGGTCATGGAAAGTGTCCCTGCAAAGCTCTGCTGGCTGCTCTTCAGTTAGCTCCATAGGTAATTGCATGTAATTTCTAGTTCAGGAGGACTACAAGAACATCTTCTATATAATTGTAAAGGAAAACTCATCCTCACAAAGCTACAAGTTACCTATGACTGCACCAGGACCACTCCCTACTTGTAGTCCAATCTGCAAGATAGCTTTTGTGTACAAAGCCAACAGACCTCAGGGACTGGCATTCAACACTGAAGAAAACACTCACCAACTCCTGTAGCCTTCTTTTGCTCATGCCTTTGCGTTCCAGCTGTTTCTCAATCACTTTTGCATTCTGTGCATAGGAGTCCGCAATCTCCCTCTGAAACACATGCAATGTCACTTTGCAACAGCAAACCCTAAACTAACACCACCTCATCCAAATGGTGAGACATCACCGGCTCTGATCAGTGTCAAGAGACAGCTGCCCAGTTCAGATGTGACTGCCACTAAGGGCAGACAAAACTGACCGCTTCGATCTCCTCCTCCTCTTCATCAATTGTGGAGACTGTGACAGAACTGAACTTGCCCATGTCTTTGGTCCGTTTGGTCATCATCACCTGGGTGAGAAGCAGAGTATTTTGTTAAACCCTGGCAACAGTTATGCCACTAGGGATCATCTCCCCCTCCAAAGCTTTTAAGGCTTCTCATGCAAGTCATTAAGATTACCTGAACTCTGTGGGTGGCAAAGGAGAATTATCCCCAGTGGTTTCTGGGCTTGGAGCTGTCATTATCAGAAGCAAACTCACTGATATATATATATATAAAAAAAATAGAGGAGCCAGATTTTGAGAATCACTGTGCAGACTATCAATCTGACCTACTTACAAACTGAAACTTTCTAGTAACTGAGTCTAACTAAACATCAGACACAGCCTAGATTTCAGAGTTTATTTTGCTTTCCTTTAGTGCTAGGACTCCAAGCTGCAGTGACAGCTGTAAAGAAAAACTTAAGGCAGACAGGGAGAAAACACCAAACTGAGTTGTTGTTGTTTAGAGGTCCTTTTCTTTCTTTTTTTTTTTTCCCCTCTGCCACTGCCATTAAGTGATTTTACTCACCACACCTGTCTGAAAAGCAGAGATAGCTTTTCCACTCCTCCGAAGCTGATTACCTTTTTGGGAGGTTCTTGTTTCTGAGTGTATATGTTTGTTTTCCCAAAACCCTGGCCAAATTTGACCACAGCACCATCAACAATGAATGTCACGGGAGCATTTTTCTGTTGGTGTTGATAAAAGAGCAGCAGTCCACACCTGGAAACAGAAACACACATAGCTGTGAGGAAACCCAGACTGTGGATCTCTGCAGTTACCTCCTAAGTTCTAAAAGTCCCTGCAGAGCCGCCGCGGTCACTCACTTGCCGCACTTCTTCCTGAACTGCCGCTCTATGCCTTCTGGCCTGCGGAGAGAGGGAGAGCTTAAGAGGGGCGG